AGCAAAGCAATTATTTTTTTCTATATCGTCAGCATAAAAAATTGGTTAACTGTCCTCTTGTTGTGCAATAAAATGTTACTACATAAGTAGGTTGATTGATAAACACCTTATTAATGATATTAAAAAAGTCCATTGTACATCATCCTGCTTTATATTCCGTAATACTTAATCTGTGCCAGTTTTCTAAAAGAGAGCCATGAGTATATGAGGGTACTGTTTGTATAAAGATAAATAAACTGGATAATCTTATTACGCAAAACGTGTGCGCAAATGTTTCATCGGTGCTATTACAATCTGCAGTATAATGAGGAAGTCTTAAAAAGAAAGCAATAAAAAAGCCCCTCCACAGATGGCGACTCTAGCAAAAGTTGATTTTTGCACGAAACGAATGGACCAGAGAGTCATTTCTGTTCCTTTTAACTCACATATTAAATAATTCAAATTTACAAAGTTCGAAACTTAGATATCAATACAAATACGAAAAAGTACAAATAGAATATCAGTTGTTTTTTGAGTTTTAAAACTTACTTTTATATATGAAAGAAAACCGGAAGGGTTGCCATGGAGAAATCAAGAAAGTACCGTAGCGACATCTAGTTTGATTTCGGGAACAATTTTTTTTTAATTACTTATTCATTAGGATAACTGAATACGGCGATTTTTTCATAACTTGTAAATTATTCTGACCTCTCTTTTTCATTCAAAAGAGGTCGGTCAGTCAGTCAGTCAGTCATTCAAAAATAATGAAATACTTACTTCAGATTTAGAAAAAGAACATCATCACTAATAGGTTGTCTAAATTAAAAACCGGCCAGTTGCAAGTCGGACTCCCTCACGAAGGGGTTCGTATTATATCTATAAAAACGGTAAATAGTCATGACTGTCGTATCCCCTTTAAATATTTATTTTATTACGTTTCTTGGTATTTGTTATTATAACGGCAACAGCTTCAACTGTCTATCACTCTTAATTATAGTCGAGAGTATTAATTGAGAAAATGGCATAACTTAAACAGACATTTTTAACCAACAGATGAGAATTTTAAATAGATAATTACTGTCAATAGTATATAATAATAGAATTCTAACTATTAACAGTTCTTACTTCATTTAACTTCTTGTTTATTTAAAATGAAATAACTTTTAAATGATTTCAGAGCGTTTGTATTAAGTTTTATTAACATTTCGGATCCTTTACAGGTTTCGTGTTCACGTAAGACTAACTTCTTGTTTATTTGATAAAAGTATTTACTTAAGTAATGACTTTTAGTCGACTATACACAGACTATATATATATGTACATATACGGGTGTAACTGTCACGGTTCTTAAGATACATACTTAGGACAAACAGACAGAAAGCGGAGTCTTAGTGATAGGGTTTCGTTTTGCCCTTAGGTACGGAACCGTAAAAACTATTTCTTATTAGATCAAAATGTGAAATAAATGAAAACTCTATAAAAAAAATATTAAATTAGTTTAGGTTATTTATAAATTCACCACTACCTACTACTTCGAAAGTAAATAAAATTATGTAAGTAACTTTATAGGCTATAATCCGAAGGCTAGGCTATAATTGCGAAATTATAACCTAGCCTTCAGACTTATAGGCTATAGTTGAGAAATTTCACATTAATTATAAATGTTTGAGAGTAATTAATTAAAAATAGTCGCATAGCGTACGCCATCCTTTGTGCTTCTTGGGCTTTATCTATCTCCTTGACTTGCGTGTTGACTTCCCTACGTTTTCTCTTTGTCTTCTTGAGTCACTCCAGCGAATATAAACTATTATTTAAAACTGCATGAATCAAAAAAAGAAACTGCATAAAAACTCGTTTGTTTTTGTCATATTCAGACGGGTATCGTTCCGAGGATTAGTCTAGATTACTTTTATGATATGTGATAAATAATAGAGGTGCCAAATAACTCGGTGGTTACCGCGTTCGGTTTGCGATACCGATCACAGCCGCATCAGCCGCACTAGTCCCGCGTATGATGTAGTTTCTCGTAAGTAAGTGAAATAATTTCCACGTTCTTATCAGTATTTCCGAAGACAAACAAACAAAAAATGTTTAAATTTAACCTCGTTATAATATAAGTATAGATTATTATATATATTTTTATGCATTTGACATAAAATAATGTAAAATTCGCCGTAATGAATTTGTGATTAAACACGATTCTGATATTAGACTAAAATAAACTGTACCTACCAACTGGTTATTGAGTCACCGCAACTCTCATTTCATTGTGGCACTAGTGCGCACGCACCTAATGCACCCGGCCTGCCCGAGCGTGGCACAGTTCAAGATATGGTTCAAAGTCTATAGCTACAGTGGTATAAGTTTAAAGATACCAGCGTGTTAACGTTAAAGTATCTATAGCTCGTACGAATTTCGAACATACGAAAGTTCACTGACCGACCTCTCAAAGACGAAATAACGAAAATTTTACTGTTGCACTCGGTACGTGCCTAACAAATAACAATAATACCTAATTCTAGAGACGTGTATATGCAATAATGATCGCTTAGAGCTAGCAACCGAATTCGGTAAGATTGGGATCGCATACTTTGTCGAGACTACACTACAGCCCCTGAAGGCCTGTTATATTTATCCTTTGTTCTTTATAGTTAAACCATGTCCATGAAAATTATCTATGCATCAGACCATAATCAAAAATGTGGTCATATTAGCATTTCGAAAATATACGAAATTTCATTTTCGGAGAAATAGAATAGGCTTCTAGTTTGTAGTGTAGCTGGATCCCGGGTCGTTCCCCCTGGAGGGTTATTGCAGCAGGTTTCACCAGATAGGCCGGTCTACCGCTGTGTGGACTTAAGTTAAGCCTGTTCTTTGCAGGACGAGTAAGACGCTGGAGAGCCCTGGTTTAAAGCTTAAGATTGCATTTCCCTGACTTAACAAACGGCCTTTAATTCGTACGTATAGAACCCATACCCAAGCCATGGGCGTATAGTCTGGTGCCCAGCGTACCAAAATCAAAATATTGGACTTTAGGCAGATAGAATAATGGCAACATGTCGAGATTATATTGAGATGCGATAAATAAACATTAGTAAAATTGCCCGTTAACTCAATTTGTTAGGATGATCATTATCCAATGGTAGTAAGAGTTAAAGTTCTTTGTAGATACTAGTTGGGTGTGGAAGTTGCTAGATATCATACTTTTAAAGTTTTATTAATCTTTTATTTCAATTTTAGAAATAGACCTAAGCCTATTAAAAGGTAACAACATACCTCTTCGAATCCATAATGAAGAAAGTTATCTTTCACGTCCCATTTTTTATAAGGTATACGAAACAAATAAAAGTATGAGTTGACTACTCATGCTACTTATGTTCTAAGATACTGATTGGGTACAAATGTAAATTAATAAAGTTCACACTATATAAACCTTCAAACTCACATTAAAAATATAGCTATGATAATAAATGTAAGACGTAACAACCATTACTCGATTAATGTCAACATTTTTTACAAACAAATAAAAAAAACATTAATTAATTAACGAATCATAAACAACGCATTTAAATTTCGAAATCCTAACATAAATATTTGTACATTTTAAAAACAAATGAACACATAATATAAATTATTTTACATGTTATGGTTTGCCAGAGTCGTTGTGCAGCTCCATCGAAGAGGAGCATAACCGTGTGTGCCAGGTCCACGTCTCGTTCTACTTATGCCATTTATTATATCTACACTAATATAATATAAAGAGTACGTAGTAAAGTGAAATTTTATGGATCGCCTTTTTTATTACATCTTTAAAATTATGGACTTTTGTTCAAAGTCATAGTAAAATTCAGCATAGTTTTCTTTGTCCTAATTATAGTTATGCATAATAGTTTAAGCACCTATAATTTTTAGTGTACCGTACCTCGAAAGCAAAAAAGGGATGACTTTGTTGTCCGTCTGTCAAGACCTTTTTTCTCAGTAACAAGTAGAGGTATCAAGGTGAAATACTCAAGTCTACTGTCCCTTATATGATAAAGTCCAAATTATAAGCCAACGCAAACAAAAGATATAAGGGTTTATGCCCCCAATTTTCGTAACTCGCAAGGGAATCAAGAATGTGAACTCAAGATCTTGAAATTTGGTACAAAGCAACGTCTTATAGCACAGATAAAGAAAAATTGCGAAAACCGTATATTTTTAGTTACTTACATGATATAATAAAAATATTTTTAATGAATACCTACAGGCTTGTACGGAAACCCTCGGTGCGCGAGTCCAACTCGCACTTGTTCTTATTGCGTAATTTCGGCTAGCTGGCGCAAGCCGATAGCAAGCGAGATATTATGCAGGCCATTTTCTTTATTGATATGTTGGGTCGCCATATCAATAAAGAAAATGGCCTGCATAATATCTCCAAAAATCCGAGGCCTTAATTACTTGTCTTCGTGAATCTGAGCAATGTACATGATGTTGTCTAATATTTATAAAAAAAATAATAATAATATACCTATCTAAAACCAAGTTACTGACCAGATTACTTACCATCTTTTGTACCAGACCAAATTATTATCTTTCGTTTTGATTTTAATGTTTCAGTTTTTGATCAAGAATAGACAGAAATAGAGCTTGGTTACTTACTGTACGCCAAAAAAAATTCTTTAACCTTTTGCTGTCTTTCGTCTCATTACTTTCACAGTCATCTTTATGGATTCTTAACTTTATCTGGATCTCCGTACTATTCTATCACGATACGGTTACTGTCGCCATCTAGTATCGTAGTAGAAAATTACAATAAAAGCAATTATTTTATATTTAAAAATTATGTTACTGGTACTGGTTTACATATCGGGTGTTTAATACCTAATCAAGGAAAAAAAGGTTAAAGGTCTACTATTTCCTTGAATACATCAAAAAATGTAATAGCAGTTCAATAAACCACATACCTATTACTAACTCAATGTTCTAATATGCTCCAATAGATGCCGCCGTAAGATTCTAACAAATGTTAAATAACTAATTTATTTATAAGCCTTGTTCCATATTATTTATGGAATAAGGCTTATGGAACAAATGGTTTTTGTCAAAACATAAGTGCATGTTCATTGATATTGTGAGCTTTTTGGTTCTTAAAAATTGAAAATCTTGTTAAAGAGATAAAATTCCTTAATTAATTATTTTTTCCCTAATCACGTTGTTGTCACAGGAAATTATCTAGATAGTTATCTTCGTATAATAAAAGATATTAAACAATATTTTCAATAACTTCCCTGAATTAGCACTATAGTTAAAATATAATTAACACGTTACTTGCTTTGTAAATACACATACCATCATTTTCTTTCTTATATTGGTACATAAACGTGATAGATTTTCAATGTTGGTATACAAAAAAAGTGTTGCAAGTAAAACACCTCTTCAAACTTTTTGGGGAGGACAATAATATTATCTAGGAAAAACATAAATCCACATAACATTTTACGAAATAAAAATATAATTTTGAAATAGCTTTATTATATCCAATATAAACAGAAATGGGGTAAAATATTTTTTTTTCGTTGTCATAATGTATACTATAAACATCGATATAAAAATAAAAACAAGTTATCAAAGGTCGCCTCTAAAAATTATAGAACATGGCAAAAACTATGTTTAGCTTACATCGCTAAAAGCATATTATTTTTATTAAGATAAATATGCTCATTTGACCCATGTATTGTTAAATGTATACTCCTTTAGGGATTTGAAATACATGTTAACATATGCAATGATTTTTTTTGTTTCAATAATTAAAGATCGCTTTGTATTTTTATATACACGGCATTTATAAATAAAATATTTTCCCCTTTATAAAATTGACCTGACCACGCCTGCTTGCTGCTGGTGGTACCTAATTTCCAATATGGCAACATTTTAAAAAAGAAAGTGGTGAGGTGAAAGATGAATTTACGAGAATAGGTCGCGCAAGTCGCATAGATTTTTGGTTGATTTCCTTTTCACTTTGCTTTCGTATTCTACATAAGATCTAATAAACTGAAGTTAATTTGTGTTCTTGACCATAATTTGATTCACCGCGTTAGGTGCCGTGGCACCGAAAACAGGATAAGTACAATAGTGAACAGCATCTTATTGATTTTCTTACCTTGCATATGCTTTCAACCAACGCGAAGTTGTGTTATTATATATATCGGAGAATATATAGTCTAATTGGAATTTGTTACAATTAAAACAATAATCCGCATATCTGGTGACATTTTTCCTATTTCGGTGTTATCGAAAATAAGCGAAAATGATGGCTAACTCACTTGACACAGTAAACGCGAACCAGCCTACGCAAAATGGTAGCAAGGTTCAACCTAGCAATAACGAATCAAAGACTAATCTTATAGTTAACTATTTACCACAAACGATGACCCAAGAAGAGATACGGTCGCTGTTCTCAAGCGTCGGCGAAGTAGAAAGTTGCAAGTTGATTAGGGACAAAGTAACAGTGTTTCCTGATCACATTCTTAATGGGCAGAGCCTAGGCTACGCTTTCGTCAATTATCATAAAGCTGAGGATGCGGAGAAAGCAGTGAACACGTTAAATGGGTTGAGGCTGCAGAATAAAATCATCAAAGTGTCGTACGCCCGACCGAGTTCCGATGCGATTAAAGGCGCTAACCTTTATGTTTCTGGTCTCCCGAAACACATGACACAGCAAGAACTAGAGAAGCTCTTCAGCCCCTTTGGAACAATAATTAGTTCACGCATACTTCATGAGAATGTGAATGTTGGTCACTTATTGCAAGTCGGAGGAGAGGAGCAGTCCATACAAGGCCCTTCCAGAGGTGTGGCGTTCATCCGCTACGATCAACGGTGTGAGGCAGAGGCAGCAATACGTGAGTTGAATGGTACTATACCTCCAGGTGGTACAGGTCCCATAACTGTCAAGTGTGCCAACAATCCCAGCAACCAGAACAAGGCCCTGGCCCCCTTAGCAGCATACTTGGCACCCACAGCTGGACGGCGATTTGTAGGGCCTGCTGGTAAAGCATTACTGGCTATCAACAAGGGCCTCCAAAGATTCTCTCCTTTAGCTGATCCTCTTATTCAAGGTAATGCATTAGGTGGTTCAGGTTGGTGTATCTTTGTCTATAACATCGGAGCTGATACTGAAGAAAGCATTCTTTGGCAGCTCTTTGGCCCATTTGGTGCCGTCCAAAGTGTTAAAATTATAAGAGATCCCACAACCAACAAATGTAAAGGCTATGGTTTTGTAACTATGACTAACTACGATGAAGCCGTAGTGGCAATCCAATCTTTGAATGGATACTCACTGAATGGCCAAGTGCTGCAGGTCAGCTTCAAAACGAACAAGAGTAAATCTTAAGTTAATCAAAATCTAGTCAATAAATTTTATAGCTAATACAAAAAAATGTTGATCATTAAGCGGTCGTGGTTTTGCATCAATATTGATTAATCTTAGAACTGAGTAGTGAATATTACTGATGCAAATCATTGACATAACAGTTTGAACCAGTGTTCATTGCAAGCAAGTACAAATAATACACGCAACCGAATCTGTCATTAAAGATAACAAAGTCACAAAAATGTTAATGACCGAATTCAATATCCATGTGATACTATGCTGTGAAGTGTGTTTATCCAGTACCATGAAATACAACCAATGATCTAAGAATGACTTTATGTCACAAGTTTGTATTATTTAGATTGGACTGCTCAGAGGCTAGCCTAATGTGGATATTTTAGTATTAGAATGACATCACATTATAATTACAGCATTTATAAGAAACTTTGCCAACTGCAAATTTTCACATGCAGTTCAAATGATCTTGGAAAGATTTTAAGAATAGCTATTCTGAAATGGGGTTGACACATTTCTACTTTTATATACCATAAAAGTTGCTTCACAATGCATTGCAAATGATATATTTTTCTTTTATACAAAATGACAAGGAAGCTATTCAAATATCAGATTAATATGGATTTATGTTAAGATAAATGATACTTAATAATCTTTATTTTTACAACAATGTATAATTTGTGAATGAAAAACTTTTAATTACTACATATATGATCAGTCATATTTTTTATTTTATGTGATTGAGAGCAATCATATGAAAATACAGAATTCGGTACCTTTCTAATAACATTCAACATTAATTGTTGTGATTTGTATTTTTATAAGATTAATATTATCTGAACTTAAAACTGATAATGCCAACATGAGTCTAGTAGTACTGCAGGCAATAATGATCTAAATCTTATGACAGTGCAATATTATACTATTTACTTAAAGTAAAAGTATGTATATAAAAGATACATAATATTTATAAAAATGCCTGTGCAATTTGCCCAAACTACCTGTGTCATCTTTTTAGATGTTGCAATAATAATATAATTAAAAAAGAAATCAATTATTTATTCATTCACATTAAGTTTTTGCACCTACCAAAGATAACAGAAACAATATTATGACTGAATAATAATTCACATAATAAGTAAAGACTTTTGTATAAAATTTTAATCTAACATTTCCATAGGTACATGTTTACATTAACATAATTAGGGAAATGATGATTTAATTTCATCAATGTAATATTGATGTAACTGACAAAATAATTCCAATAATGACAAAATGCACAAAAATGTTATAATTAAATGAATAATTATATATTAGAACCTTAAATAATCATTTTATATTAACTATTCGTGTTGTAATGTCTCATCCATGTTATTTATTTCTCATTAATGATAAAATAATGATAAGAAAATTTGATCTTTGGCTAATGCAACATAGAAATTTTAATCAAAATTATGAAGTGTAAGGACCATGACATAACAACTAATTAGTTATTGATCAACATTTTATTCGACAAAATTTTGTAATTGTGTCTGGATACATGTATCTGATATATGACTAGTGTAATTAGTGAAAGTCAAATTGAAAACTTTTAGATATCAATCATAAAAATTAGGGTGACTAAATTGGATAACTTTTATGAATCACCATTTTTTATATAAAAAAGAAGTACATTTTTATGATAAATGACAGTTTGACTTTCACAATATGATATTGTCTCTCTAATTATTAATTTGTATAATCATATCTATTTATTATTAAATTTAAGTAACTTTTCAATTCATTGTAATTTATTATAATCATAATAGATATATAGATTTCATTTGATGTTATAATTAATATATTGAACATTTAGTGTAAGTTCAAAATTAGTTGGATCAACATTACCTTACTCAACAATGAACATATGCCTATCTGATTATTTGTATTATTCCAGATATTTAGTAGGTTGTGTAACTTACATTCATAGCTAAATATTCATAGATAAAATGCATATCATGAACATACGTGCTAAGATTCTCTAATAAAGAGAGCTTATATGATGCATTTTGTAATAAGTACCTACCTATGTTTAATTTCTATGATACTGATAAGGATAATATGTTTCATTAAGATTAATTATTATTATTTATTAAAAGTACTTAACTTTGCAAAACTAGTCAGTTATAATTTTGCGCAAGATTTAAACTTTTTAAGTAACTACACATAAGTATTTATAAAACTGTGTTCTCTAATTTAAATGTAGACATTTAGATATTTGAGTTTAAATTATGTTGGTGTGGTGTTCAGTTAATAACATAAATGTAATGTACCATTGTATAGTACACAATACATACTACATAACGAAATATATAGATGGTGTGTATCGAAACTAGTCAAAGGGTAAAATTGTACCTCAGGAAGATGGCTCTGAATTTCTTTGTCTGTATTTGTCTGGCGCGTTATTAATTCTATACCTACAAGGTGCTAATATTTAGTCGGCGTTCTTTGCTCAATGCTAAGGTTTTTTAGTATACACTGTGATTTTTTAATTGCTATAGGAAATTCACTATTACATTTAGACATATTGAATAAGTAAAAATATTGAATTATACAAATCGTACAACTAAAACCTATAGAAGCATCAGCTGCGTGCGTTGCTATTGAACTTATGAATGCTTACGTCTTTTCAGCGGGTAAAAAAATATTACGAAAATGATGTGTGTACACGTCTGATTTTTTTACAAGCTAAGTTTGAAATCTATTAAAATATTGTTAATAGAAGTCCTATGATTGAATGTTCTCTGACAATTAAAAAGTCAAGGTGTGTATACCTTTAATGATACAGGCTGTCCTGTTACTTTTATTATAAATAACCTCCTTGAATTAATTGGAGATTTCCATTATATATAAGAGTCCAGAACAAGTAAATATGGCACGAAATATTCAGAGCTTCCTGGTGCTTTACCATGGAATTTTTAACGCGATCCAATTGCAGGGATAATGTAGGTGCATCAGTAAATCGATTTACTTCAGTGACTGCTTTTTGATCGCATTTGTAGAGATCATGGTAAGGCCCCGGTCCATTGTGTTTTGTCGTCCCAGAAACGTATGCGATCCTCCCAGAAAATAACATTTTGACACCAACGCACACCTGTCCCCTTTAAAACGTTTTGTTTGCATTAGTACCTATTTTTGTGTTTCTAAGATGTGGTATAATTTTTGTGTTAACTTCAGTTATTTAAAAAAAAAACTAACATTTGGAATCTTTAGTGTTACTTATTTAACCACACTTAGTGATTTGATTTTAATTATTATTATTTTGTTTGTTTTTACTTTTGGGCAGGTTTGGGTATTGTAAGGGTTTGGCCTAGGATGTAGCTAGAGATATATAAGACAGAGTACAAATTGCCGATATAATTGTATGAAGATAATGTTTGGCTTACTTACATTTAATTTTGAAATAATGTCAACGAATGTAATCTGGTAGGAAATATTGATAGACATTAAATATTGACATTAGCAATAATATACCTAAACTAATCTTTTATTTATAAACTCCTTAATTAGCTTATCTATTTTAGAGATAATAATTTAACCCCTTTAAATATCTACAAAACGATTCAGAAAAAAATTCAGCACAGGAACGAGAATTTAGAGTAAATGCCTTTTAATGTTTCTTAGAAGATAGGTAGTAGGATTAAACTTATTGATTTTTATTATTATGGAGGCCATAGCAACTGTTTTCTATGAAAATTCCAAATGTCTCATCCCTTTAACAAAGAAAATAAGACTCTTGTGACAAACAAACCGACTGATTTAGAACGGTGTTGTATTGTTAGGTCTTTCGATACCTTTTGGGTACAGTTGTTATATTTATAAAATAAATAAAAAATTATAATATCCCATCTTGATTGAGCCCAAGTTAGACTCTGTTTCATTTCTGTCAGCTAAACGGAAATTTCGATTCTCCGAGAGTGGTACACAAATATAGCATAGGTTTAGAACGCGTTGACTTTTGGCGTTATAAAGCAAAGCAAATCCATGACAAAAATCTTAAATATATCGTTCAATCATGCGGTATACTAACAATAAAATATTAAATATAATAGTATGCTAGTTAAGTCAATAGGTTGTTTCAGTATTAATTCGTCATTTCGGAATTTCTTCACTTTCCCGATTACCCCTAAAGCATTTTGTCGCTTTAATATATGCTTCCTTGGCCTGTACAAAAAATTACTAAATTCCAATTGATTTTGTACAGAATCAGAACGTCTGGATAAGCTATATTAAAAATGTGAAAAATATTTCATATTTCTGTGTCACAGTCAAACCGTGAATTCATAAAATTTCAATGTTCATCATTTGTCTTCTTAAATTATAGATTTTTTTATACAGGAAAATTGATAATTAAACAAGTAATTTTGTAACCAAGGGCAAAAATCGTAATATTTGACTCGCAATACACCAACCGTTCTTTGTCCCTGTCTATCTTATTAACGGGATATCTTGTTTTCTCTTTTGTCTCGACGCCCAGCGAACGACTTAAACATGCATAAGATGATAATTTTATATCTTTAACTACTTTTCAAACGTTTTTATAGTCTCACGACAAATGTCTTGTCGCGAAATAGTGAAAGCGTCATTGCATAGTCAAGCAGGCATATCGTTAGCAATGTAACATCTAATTAAAAAAAAAACCACCGCTTTGCGAGCGGTGTCCTAGTTTGGGGGCGAACAATTTGATCAAGCAACGTTTCACGAGGGATGGAATCGTTCCGAACCCCTGCCACCCTTCTGCGGAAGTTCATTGAACCCATTGTATACATTTAGCATTGATCGCATTCGATTTTTTGAGCGTGTTTCTGTACTGTACGTAATACATTATCTATGCTATTACATACTATTTCAATTCACAATAGGTAGGTAGTACCTACTCAAATATAATTGGACGTAGTTAATCAAAAAGGATCCATCCCACACAATGTCACTTTTGAGATATAGACGATTGAAGTTTAAGCTGTATTTGCATGTTGATGTAACATTTTTGTGTATTATATTTTTATCTAATAGCATAGAAAACCAAAAACCACTTACACTATCTTATTATAATGTCATTTTAACAGAACTAACAATATTTATTAAAATATAAAGGTTAAAGTATGTTTGGATCCTCTTTGATATATTTAGGTTTTAATCACCTTATTCTTACAAAACAAATATCAAAACGATCCAAATGAAGAAATAATAGAATAATTAACTGAAACGCCAAAGTTTAATCGTATAAAAACAATTTATTAAAGGTCCTTTATATTTATTGTTTTAATGGTAAATGTATTCTCACTATCTAACATTGCCTTCTTACACCTTTTAATAAAATTGCTTTTTAACAAAAATGCTTCAAGCGTTTTGAACCTTTATTGCGATTTTAAACAAAGATTAGTGCCTTTAATTTGCTATTTTACTATATGGATCCAAAAAGCTTGATTGGTTTCATGGAACTAAAATATGAACCTACCAAAGATGTGGGATGGTAACTACCATTGAAAAAAAAGTCTAATATTAAAAACAGCTCAGAGCTTTTTTCCTATATGAAAGTATAGATCCTGATGGACATTTTGGTATACTTAACTCATTTTCGACCAATTTGGGTTGTATCCTTTTTTAGTATATACGTCACAGATATACGTCCAATTTACCTACCTATCTCTTTCGTCACTTTTAACACTAGGTATATCAGTGGGAATTTTGGGATACCTATAGGTATAATAGGTAGCTTGAATCATTTTTGTTAAAAAGCAATAAATGATAGATAAGATAACTTATATGTTTACAATCTTACTGTGGTTGTGGATACGGTAATAAAAGGCCAAGTGCAAGTTGGACACGCGCGCGAGGGGTTCCGTTCCGTAACATCATAGAATAGAATAGAATAATTCTTTATTGTACAAAAACAACAATAATAGGTAACTAAAAATATAGTACAATCGGCGGCCTTATCGCTAAGAAGCAATTTCTTCTAGGCAACCGTTATCGTTTGGAAAATTTTAATTTAAGTTAAATTAGGTAGTTTATGGTGTCTTAAATGTACACGATATAAACATACATACACAATTATCATACATACTATAACTATAAAATATATGTAGGTATATAATGTAATAGTTCATAATGACAGATAGTGCTCCTTTACTAGATTTTTGAAACTAGCTACCGTTTGCGCACGGGTTATGTTTTCGGGTAATGCATTCCAGAGACAGGCAGTTTGAACTTTAAAAGATTTGTCAAGATATTTAGTGAAATGCATTGGTGTCTCCAATTTTAAGTTCTCTGATGTTTTCAAAACTCGAGTGTGGGTATTATGAAGGAAATTAAAACGTTGCTTAAGGTAAGATGGCGAAAGTGGATTAAACAAAATACTATAAAGAAGAGAAACGATATGTGCATTCCGGCGAAGACGAATCGGGAGCCACTTGAATTTTGCACGGAAATCGGATACATGATCATATTTTCGTAAACCAAATATGAATCTGATACAGAAGTTTTGTAACCGCTCAAGTTTGTTAAGTTGCTTCTCAGTAAGATTAATATAGCTAACGTTTGCGTAATTTAAAATGGGGAGAAGGAAATTGCGCAGTCTTCTTATGGACCAGCCGCAGCAAACATCTTACGGCTCACTTCCTGGATTGGAAGACCCCAAGTGAATTTTTTGTCAAGCAGCACACTCAAATTTCTAATACAGTTACTAGGAGTTAATGTGATACCGCCAATTGTGATCAATGGTAGTTGAGTCCAGTCGATTTTATTAATCATCGTAGGATTACCAACAATAATGATTTGAGTCTTGGATGGATTTATTATTAAACCATATGATTTAAGACTCCAATTAAAAATTCGGTTTAGACCATCATTTACATTAGTAATTAGTTGATGAAGTTCGATTAGTCGTGCTTGGGAGTAAATTTGCAAATCATCTGCTTAAAGGACGAAATAAGTTGATTGGAAATAGAATTGATAAAAATAGCGAAAAGTAATGGATATAAAACGCCACCCTGTGGCACCCCGGTAGATATATCGCAGAAATCTGAAAAATATTTGTCAATGCGAATTCGCAAAAAAAGTCCTAAGATTTTTTTAAATATAAATATTAAATAAAGTCACATAATTGCTCAGATTCCAAAATGAATAACTAAAGCTCCCGTAGTATGGAGTATCTGAAATAACAAAGGTATCACAATATTCAGACACGAGACAGTTTAGAAAATTCTATATTAAAAATGAGCCATCAAATTGGAAAGTTATGTTAGTTGTTCCAGAGTCCAATCAACTTTGAGAACCAATGCGATAGATGATAAAATAAACGAGACAGGTATTCACCTATAGTTGACTGTACGTCATGACGTCACATTACTACGACAGGTCAAATTTCTATAATCGATATTAGGTCTTAAAGTGTTAAATATTAGGTTCTAAATCGATTGCAAAAAAGGAGATTGACCATATTATACATAAGGTTAATTTTGTTAGGTTTGTAACAAAATGAAAAATCAAGAGATGCCATATTTTATTAAACCGTTGAAACATTAATCTGCTAAAATTATTAAATGAAGCTTAGAAAAAAACCGGATGAAGTATAATTGAGTCATTTTTAATCTTCTATGTTTTAAGCGTAGAGAATGCAATGGTTTTAAGAAGTTACATTTGACATTTCTCAACCTGGAATCGATAGTGAGTGTCTTGATTAAAATATTCGATACGAAATGGCATTCGAATAAAATCACATGAACTTAGTTATTGCGAAAAGCCAATTATTATTATTATCAATATATTAAATGATTGACTATAATCATTATAATCTGACGTCTACTTTGCGAGCTATCCGTGGACAAACATACATACATACATCTATGTCTGCTCACGTATTTACAAGCTCATACTGACCAAAATAATATAATAAATAAATATTACACAATATCACATACATTGTTCAGATTCCAAGATGAGTAGTCAAAGCCCTCGTATTATGGAGTATCTGAGACAACGAAAGTAACACAACACCCAGACCCGACACAATATAGAAAAGTTCATTTTCTACATTGTCCCGACCGGGGATCGAACCCGGGACCTCAGAGATGGCGACACCTTGAAACCGGCATGCGAACTAACGAAATTACATACATACACCGCAAACTGATAACCTTTTTAATTTTTCAAAATTGGTTAAAATGTTACAAACTTGCTTAGAAGCCCAAAGTTGTTTAAACTAACATAAATTAAATGAATAGTGTGCCGTATTCCAACAAAATTAAATGCATACAGATCAAATCGATAGCCTCATTGTTTTTAAGAGCGATCAAAAACGTACAGGTACAATTCATAACCTCTTTTTTTTAAGTCGGCTAATGACGTACACATACATATCTAAATTAATGGCCTCTTTTTTTAATTGGTTAAAAAAAGTTCATACATTTTATAAGTTTTTGCTCCTTATTCCTAAGAAATATTTTTTCATCGCAAAATAAACAACTGAATTGGTTCTATATTTAATAATCCGCCTTTGACGATGATAAAGGTAAAAACGATTAGTTGATTCGGTGGTGGCGCTTTATATACGCACCACATTAATTAAAGCACGCATAACATATAGCCAGCATAACATATCGAACTCGAGAAACGCTTGAGAAATGGGTTAAGTATGTGGAGATATTTTAGCTAAGCAATATTTTATTTTCGGTCTCGCTCTCATCCACTTTTCGAGTCCCTCGCGCTACTAACAACAAAGAAAGCTAACGGTCATATTTGTTGAAATAACATTTATATGCTATATTCATATTAATGGAAAAGAAATGAATTTTTAAAGCATTTAAAGTTTACATCAGGCATCACATCCAACTGCTTAAAATAAGATACCGATTTACATATTTAAAAAATCGTTTTTTTTACGGCAACCCCTACTTGTCAATGTTTGTTACTGTCAATTATTGTCAAACAAACAAATATGGTCTGCTATTTTGCAAATTTATTGAAAAGTCGAAAAGCGAGCTCTTTTATGTGGGTTCAAATAGTAATTCTCAAGATCTTGTAGAATTGGGTGTATGTGTTTTCCTAATTGATTCGTATTTTGTATTGTTACTAGATAAGTGAGTGATCGTATTGAATCTTAACATCGAATATTATTGTACATATAAAGCATTCGCCAGACATCACACGCAGAAATATTTAGAAGAAAATGGAATCCCTTTCCAAACAGGAACTTATATCAACAATTACTAAGCAAGCTGATCAAATTAAAAGATACGAAGGACGTCTTAGAGGTAACTATAATATTGTTAGATTGTGCTGTTTTTGAAACATATGTTTTGTATATTAACATGTTAAATAGACCACTTGTATCATTAATTATAAATTTTGAAAGAACTTTTTAAGTGTGTATAATTATAAATTTGATATTTCATCCTAATTTTAATATGTACTTACGGAATAATAATGGTCTGTTCTGTTTCATCTGTTTTAATGCCATTTGTTTTTGTTCACAGATGTTGTAGCTGCTTATAAAGGACTGGTTAAAGAGAAAGAAGCACTAGAAATCAGTCTGAAGGCCTTGAACAAATCTGACACCCCTAGTGAAGGAGGTATGTTAAGAATATGCAAATAAAATAAAATTGTTTCATCAATTTAAATTAACTAATTTTTTTATTTTTTTTATTCTTTTTATTGCGATCTATCACTTAACGGACATTTAGCAATAGTTTAATATCGTTTCATTTACAATTCTTCATGTGGTATCAAGTCCAGTGACTTGGCCACTTCAATAGTGTACACAGATTTGTGAAAGTTATTTATGTGCACAAGTCCAGTGGAGACTTCCGTTTCAATCTGGAAAACACAATTCTTGGCCTAGAGAGCTCTGTTGCAAGTTCATTTTTATGATTTTGTAAGCGGTTTCTATATTTGGGCATTCTATCTCTAATTTCTTGCTTTACAGTTTAGATGTTTAAGTCTTTGTGTAGTCGCTCATTAGTTATGTACCAAGGTGCATCTACTATAGTTCGCAGAACCTTCGATTGAAATCTCTGTAGTATTTCTAAATTTGAGTTCGCAGATGTACCCCATAGTTGGATTCCGTATGTCCAAGTTGGTTTTATGATGCATTTATAAATAAGTAATTTATTTTCCAGTGATAGCTTTGATGTTCTGCATATCATGCAATAATATTTACGAAACTGTATGCTGAGTGCCTTGCGCTTTGCAAAAATGTGCAAAAATTAACTAATTAAATTATGAAAATTTGATAAATATTTTACCCAAATATAACATAAACTAACTATCATAATTACTTAACGTGCTCTAAAATTAATGAACTGCCTCTTTTCCTTCCTTCCAAGATGGTTTTTTTGTAACACAAGTACAGATGTTGGGCTTAAGAGGTTGCATATATATCACATGACTATTACATTTTTTTTTCTGGCTCTCAACCTTAAGGGTTCGGAACCACCTTCCCATCAACGGAGGAAGGAGGCAGTGAATTCTTTATTGGATACCCCACGGCCAGCCGTGGGGTTATGTCAGACTCCTACTGACTAAACACCGCCTTGGACTATTGGTTGCGTGCCCTGAAGGTCCCTATTCACTTACATGAATAGTGACGTCGAGATGTTAGCTGTTAACCCCGGGGGGCTCGGCTCATCGGATTGAAATACAGCTGACTCCCTGAAGGGGAACGATCAGCCAGAGTTGATGGGGGTTGACCTGAGGGGTCGTGGAGGGCAGGGGGGGAGCTGTCACGTACCACCAGAAGGGTGCTACGTGATGCCCTTAAAAAGTGCGGCCGCTACCCTGAAGGGATAGCGGTCGAAGTGGACGGAGACGGGGGTTGACCTGAAGGGTCGGAGGGTGTAGGGGCGGAATCCGCTTGCAATCCATATATCTCCGCATGTTTGGATGGCGGATCGGTGAGGACGGATTTGGGCCTACGGGCGAGAGGAGAGGAGGAGGAGGGCGGCACATAGTCCGCGGCAGAACGGATGAGGGGAATGACTATTACAGAAAATATATGTCATATACATACAAATATAGTTTGTATTGTTAATTTTGGGTATACAAATATAAGAGAAAATAAATTATGTAAACAACCTTATTTAATTTTGTAATTATTTGATTTTTTAAACACTAGCTAAACTTTTTAAACACTTTTTAGACTAAAAAATACACTTTACAAACTAAAGACAGTAAAAATTTACATAAGATATAAAAAACAAAGTTGCTGACAATCAGTGCACATTTGTTTGGCGCATATATGTGCATTATCACTTAGTTTAGGTGGACAAGATGCACATAATTTTCATAGTTTTTCTTAATTTGCAAACTTAAACAAAGTTCATGAGGCAAGCATAAGTTAAACACTTACTACCGATGGCGGGGTCGCAACGTAATTTCAAAGTGACATAACTTACTGAAATTGTCTTCGTCGGCAATATCACGACACTCAACGGCGTCGGCGCAATTAAACTCGCTGCTTCTGGTGGGTCTCAGTTGCGTGAGGAAGGAGCAAATCTAGCAATTTGACAACCCGCCGCGACCACACAGGCCCCAAGTCGGTAGTTAAAGATTAATTATATTAATGTCTAAATGGTATGCCTCTTTGTTGGTATGTGTATCAAAAGCCTTAAAACTGTTATCTATGGATTGTCTATTGGTTCTGTGGATTAAAAAAGTAATTTTAGTCTGTTGCGAAAATCTAACGTCTTTTAATACTCTTCTGGTTTCTATAGTAGTATCATTTTTATAGTTTCAGATGATTCAGTAGCTGCTCTTACACTTTCTCTGTCTACATTGACAGCAGAGAAAGCTCGTATGGAAGAAGCATTTCAAGCTGACAAAAAAGTCACAAGGGACAAGGTATACAAATACTTAAAATTATACAAATTTTATTTATTAACTTAGCCTGTGACTGATGTATTGGTGCAAATAAGACACAACAGGGAATATTCACATAAAAAAAAATATATGTAATTGCTAGGTCAATTACATTTTTTTTGAGACAATACATTGATGTTATTATGTCGATATTAACTTTTTGTAATAACAACATCCCTATACATTTTCGTTTTCATCTCATCTGCTCTTCCGTTTATTTTCCAAAAACGAAATAATGTTGAAAAATATTAACATGGACATTAATCGAAAGCAATAACTAATATTCATAATTAAATATATATAACTGTGTTTTTAGTCTATTCCCTATTTATATTGTCATAGTTAATTTCTAAACAGTGAAACAAAAACTTAAAATATAAACCAAAAGTTTTTATTTGCTAAATATTAACCCTACAAGGCTCAATTTTTTTTTTGGTTGTGGAAAAAATATATATGATGTAATTAGTTATTAGTATTTAGGAAAAAATATATAAAAAAATAATAATCCAATGTTTTACCAGAAAATCAATTTTTTATTTCAGTTCCATATATGGTACACTGAGCCTTAACTTTACTATTTGGTACTGAACTACAATAAACGTAATAATTAGGAAACAGTGTCTTATATTAATTATCACGAGCTTTTTTTATTTTATAATTATTAACATAATAAAGATGTACATTCAATAAGAAACAATTATGTTTAAAAAAGCTTCTTATTGATGTTTCAGAAACAATTATTATCTTTATTCAGGCAAAGTTCTGCGTGACAATTCTCACAAGAAATAAAGTCTTCCTATGCAACCAGGCTATTTATATCTTTATCTTTTTTCACCCCAGACCGGAAAATGCTCAAACCCTTCACGTCTGACGTCACGAGGAGGTAGGATTGCAGTATTGGGCTTCTTTCTTTTCTTCTCAATTTCTTCAGACGCAGAAGCCCAAACATACATAAACTTTTGCCTACCTCAAATTTGAACTTCTTTTGTTTTAGTGGAATTCGCGTATTATTCTGTTCTCCAACTCTTTTGTACAATAACCAGCTATTGATCAAAGAAATATCAAGAAGATGATAAAATAGTCTCAACCACAAAAAATATCGAAGGGATGTCAAAGTGTATAATTGGTGACTATAAACTTGTGTCTCCAGTAAACGGAGAATGAGGTGAATTTAAAGTTGTTTTTCTCCAAATGAATCTCCTTTTATTTCTTATGGCAACAAACGTAGAACCAAGGGTTTTAGTTGATGATCCCCCAAGTGCCCGTGATTGTGTAATAGTATTTGTAGTTGTCCCTAATGTGCTAGGCTGCAGATCTGATATTTCAGGCCTTCACAACATGAACATCCTCGTTGGCAGGAGACAAAGATGGTCTTTGCGGTGATAGTGAAGTTTCCTCGTCGCTAAGTGATTTCGATATCAGCTTTTGGAAGAACTGTAACTTCCAGCGTCAGAAAATCCTCCTCATCTTAACTCCCAGAAGGGATATTCAAGAAATCTTCAATTTCTTCACTACACAATCCTCTTCGAGACATAATCTCTAAAAGACAATAAAATAATAGTAATTATTTGGCGTAAGTACGAAATAGTAAAACGAGCACGAAAGCTCAATGTACCATATGTGGCACATAGATAAAATGACGATTTTAAATACTATTACTACAGTAATATAAAAAAATAACTTACCTCTGCATAATATACACTCCCTTACTTCTCACAAAATTTTTTTGGACTCAGAACGATGCGATTACTAATTTTTAGAAATTGGTGAAATCACGAGAGTGGTTAACGTAAAACTTTTACTCAATTTTTTTGCCAAACTCTCTAAGCAGGAAGCAGTGGCAACATCTATGCGCAATGCTTTGTATTATTTTGTTGCTAAATATCCAACGGTTGTGTTCGGATTGATAATAGATGTCACTGCACGTTTTTCATCACTTTAGGGACGATATAAATGGTTGTCCCAAATGTGGCACTGGGGGCCTTGTAGGGTTAAGTTGGTAAAATGATAGGAATCTAGGATCAAGGATGTCTATGATTTAGTTATAAAGTTTAGTAGTACCTATACAAAAGAGTTCTGTTTATAAATTTTAAATTAATGTTTTTTAACCAATAAATGAATTAATGTTGTTTTCTGTTCTATGTATGTTTTGTATTTGATGTTAATAATAAATTGTTATCTATATATTATATTTATTAGCAACTTCGTGAATTTTATTGATGTTACATATTGTCCATAAAGTGATAATACTTGTACCTCTTAAGTAAAATATCTCATTAATAATACCCAGTTGCACAAACAATATTTAAGATTTAATGACTGCTTTATTCTAATGAATCACCTAAATTTGAAAATTTATATTGGCAATGTGGCTTAAAAGCAATGCCAATTTTAATAGATATTTGTGTAACTGGGTGTTAATGCTTTGCTTGAATTAAAATGTTTGGAAATCATCTCCATTGACAACTATTAAGATATTTCGTCACACAGAAGTGAAATACGATCACAAATTTAAAAGTAGTTTTTGTTTTAGTATGAGAACATAATTGCTACGATGAGAGAAGAAACCAAGTCACTGGTTCAGCAACATTTGGTCGAAATAAATAATCTCAAAGCTAAAATAGCATATGAGATACAGGAAAGAGAAAAGGAGAGGGCTGATCACACAGCTATGTTAAAGTTAGTATTTTTCGTAACTCCTATTAACTGTATATTAAAATGCAATGCTAATCATTCAGTTAAGCTTGTAATGAAGCAATCGAATTTTTTAAATTATTTTTTTATATCGCAAATATTATATTCTACCCAGAGAACTTCATTAAAAATTGAACAGTGAAAGAAAAACTGACTTATTAAAATATTTTTATATATTTTTATTTTATTTTATAATATTTTTATTTTCTGCAAGTAACTTTGGTTTTGTTTTTATTGTCAAAATCAAATACTTATATAATGCAATATAATAATATAAGTATAAAACAAATATTGTATTCTTTACAGAGAACTTCACCTAAAACTGAACAGTGAAAGAAAAACTAAAGAAAAGTTAGAAGATAAAGTAGTTAATTCAACAGAAACTCAAGGTATGACTTGCACCAACACGATATAGTAATTATAGTAATTATGAAGTATTTAGGCCAAAGTAGGTTTGCATATATTTTTAGAAAAAAAAAATATTATTTTTTTTATAAAAGATTTTGTCAATAAAGCATTCTAGTAAAAACATAGTTTTTTGCTGTTCTTACAGCATCACAAGCTGAGCTAGAGAAGCGTGTCCGCGATCTGAGTAGCTGTTTAGAGGCGTCACAGCGGCGCCTCCAGCGAGCCGAGGCCAGGACTGTGGAGACGCCCGCTCTACTAGTGCGGCTGCAACAGAAGCTCGCACTGCTGGAGCAGTCCCACTCTATAGCTATCAGAGAGGTAACTATCGTCCTCACAGCGAGCTAGGCCAGGACTGTGGAGACGCCCGCTCTACTAGTGCGGCTGCAACAGAAGCTCGCACTGCTGGAGCAGTCCCACTCTATAGCTATCAGAGAGGTAACTATCGTCCTCACAGCGAGCTAGGCCAGGACTGTGGAGACGCCCGCTCTACTAGTGCGGCTGCAACAGAAGCTCGCACTGCTGGAGCAGTCCCACTCTATAGCTATCAGAGAGGTAACTATCGTCCTCACAGCGAGCTAGGCCAGGACTGTGGAGACGCCCGCTCTACTAGTGCGGCTGCAACAGAAGCTCGCACTGCTGGAGCAGTCCCACTCTATAGCTATCAGAGAGGTAACTATCGTCCTCACAGCGAGCTAGGCCAGGACTGTGGAGACGCCCGCTCTACTAGTGCGGCTGCAACAGAAGCTCGCACTGCTGGAGCAGTCCCACTCTATAGCTATCAGAGAGGTAACTATCGTCCTCACAGCGAGCTAGGCCAGGACTGTGGAGACGCCCGCTCTACTAGTGCGGCTGCAACAGAAGCTCGCACTGCTGGAGCAGTCCCACTCTATAGCTATCAGAGAGGTAACTATCGTCCTCACAGCGAGCTAGGCCAGGACTGTGGAGACGCCCGCTCTACTAGTGCGGCTGCAACAGAAGCTCGCACTGCTGGAGCAGTCCCACTCTATAGCTATCAGAGAGGTAACTATCGTCCTCACAGCGAGCTAGGCCAGGACTGTGGAGACGCCCGCTCTACTAGTGCGGCTGCAACAGAAGCTCGCACTGCTGGAGCAGTCCCACTCTATAGCTATCAGAGAGGTAACTATCGTCCTCACAGCGAGCTAGGCCAGGACTGTGGAGACGCCCGCTCTACTAGTGCGGCTGCAACAGAAGCTCGCACTGCTGGAGCAGTCCCACTCTATAGCTATCAGAGAGGTAACTATCGTCCTCACAGCGAGCTAGGCCAGGACTGTGGAGACGCCCGCTCTACTAGTGCGGCTGCAACAGAAGCTCGCACTGCTGGAGCAGTCCCACTCTATAGCTATCAGAGAGGTAACTATCGTCCTCACAGCGAGCTAGGCCAGGACTGTGGAGACGCCCGCTCTACTAGTGCGGCTGCAACAGAAGCTCGCACTGCTGGAGCAGTCCCACTCTATAGCTATCAGAGAGGTAACTATCGTCCTCACAGCGAGCTAGGCCAGGACTGTGGAGACGCCCGCTCTACTAGTGCGGCTGCAACAGAAGCTCGCACTGCTGGAGCAGTCCCACTCTATAGCTATCAGAGAGGTAACTATCGTCCTCACAGCGAGCTAGGCCAGGACTGTGGAGACGCCCGCTCTACTAGTGCGGCTGCAACAGAAGCTCGCACTGCTGGAGCAGTCCCACTCTATAGCTATCAGAGAGGTAACTATCGTCCTCACAGCGAGCTAGGCCAGGACTGTGGAGACGCCCGCTCTACTAGTGCGGCTGCAACAGAAGCTCGCACTGCTGGAGCAGTCCCACTCTATAGCTATCAGAGAGGTAACTATCGTCCTCACAGCGAGCTAGGCCAGGACTGTGGAGACGCCCGCTCTACTAGTGCGGCTGCAACAGAAGTTCGTATTGCTGGATCATCACAGCGAACCAAGTTTGTTGGGTCGAAACCGGTTTAAATAATTGCAGTAATATTAATGATCATTTCTTTCCTGTTTAAATGAATTCCGCACTTAAATTGTGTGTGGTAATCGACTAAGTGATAACCGTAGCTTTTCTAATCGTTATCATGAACAAATCGATGAGTGGGTTACTTTGTGGTTTACCAGAAATGTTTGAAGGTTTAAAATCAAAGAAAGTAATTTGATAGTTTTGTATAGCCTGGCGTGCTGTTCAATCAACATACTTTTACGACATAACCATCAGCAGTGTATTAATGTCTCCACAGCTAGGGCTCAGGCCTTCCTTATGGGTGAAATCTAATAGGGAGAATGAAATAGGGAGAATGAACTGTGTTTATTTGTAAAAAAAAATCCACAATATTTTACTAAAGTCAGAGAGATAAAAAAAGACCCACGAAGTTCGAGACAAAATAAAATTGTTATTCCGAAATGTAATTTGACATTATTCAAACAAAATGTATATTATATGGCTATAAATATATTCAACAAGCTTCCATCGAAACTAGTAGACTTACCGATTAACAGAAACATTTTTAAAAAAGCTTTGACGGAGTGGCTTCTGAATAAATCATTTTACTCAATACGGGAATATTTGGAATGCAAGCAATTTTAGTAGAGTAAAAATCGCTTATAAATAAATAAATTATTATATACAACGACACTATAAATAAATTATATACAATGACATATTTTATAATGTGTATGATAAAATTATTTTGTAATTGACATGGATTTATGTATTAAGCTTATTATTTTATTATTATTATTTTTGAAACATATAAATTGATTCGAATTTTGACATTATTACTATTACTTAATTTTAAACTATAAGACTGAAATAATATGTAATAAGAACTAAATGAAATGTTTTTAAGTGAATGATGTGCGAATAAAATAATATCATAGTTAATGCATGAATCGATTAAAATGTAAATTTATATAACTACTAAAACTATTGCACACTGTCAAACAGTAAATATGTGATACGCTTATTTTATGACATCTGTTACACCATATTTTATGCAATAATTTTATTAAAAAAAAAAAAATCTAAAATTATGAAGGATTTTCAATAAAATCGCTTGAAATTTTCTATAGCATTTGTGCTCCCAATTTTGCACACTTCTATTTCTGGTGATTTTTAAGATCTTCTATAAATAAGTTGCCTGGAGATCGTTGTTAAGCGATAAGGCTTCTGTACAACACCTATTATATTATTATATTGTCAGTAAAAGTGTTTTTCTGTGTTGTGCAAAAAGTGTCAAATAAATAATTTTTAAATGCAGGAGCAAATAAAAGCGAAACGCGCCGAAGAATCGGCCCGTAAGATATGCGCTAGACAAGAGGAGCGCGTGGCTCTCCTCGAGGGGAAGATTGCGGAGTTGTCACAAACAGTCGGACAGTACGACCTGCGGCGGCGACAAGACCAAACCATCATACAACAGCTGAAAGACTCGTTGAACGGAAGCTTGATCGATAAGATAGCTTCCAATTCCAATGTTTACGGTTAGTTTTACTGCTCCATTTAGTATTTAGTCCAGTTAGTATATAAACCGTCGGAAAACAGGCTTTTTATTACGAGGAAGCTTCTCCCCCCCCCCCCCCCTTCACAGTGAAAGTGGATTATGTGAACAATCAATTAAAAGGTTTCTACTTACATTAATTATGGTTAGATTTAGTATGGCTCCTATACCGATTTCGTTTATTATAAATAGCTGGCTAATATCTGAAATGTCATTCATATATTTCTACAGATATTGATAACTTTTTGTCTGGCTTTTGATTTGTATATAAATATGATTCGAAAGAATGAACTTTGTATCTAGACAGTTTTTTCCATTTGAACTACCGGAGAATATCTGAATTTCTCAAGTAACTTGTTAATTAAGCTATTGAGTGTATCTTTTTGCATTTTTCAGTCACTTCTTAGTTTACCTGTTAGCATGTGTAAAGTATCAAATTTTTTTTCTAATAAATCTGTGTTTTTCAAGTATTTATTGAAGAAAAATTCCAAATTGTACATAATATAGTAAATTAAATTATTTTAATTTTAGCTGAAAACAAGCCTAAAAGCGAAACGGATAATGAGAAATTAGCGGACAGCGAATATTTGCAGACTTTGATAGATAAAATACATATATTGAAGAAAGAGCTCATATCAGAAAATGAGAAACTCGGCAACCCAATAGATATAACCGCCGTTTTCAAAGTTGACTGCTATGAAAATATCCATAACAAATGCAAAGAAGAGTTGGAGAGTGTTAAAGCGGAATTCGAGGCATATAAAATTCAAAACATCAAGGCTACTGATGGCGAAGTGTCAGAGAGCGAGATAGACGACTTGAAGGGTGAGATTTTAGTTCTGAAGGAGAAATTGGAGACGTACATGATGATGCTGGAGGAAGAGAAACGTGATAAAATGGAATCTTTGAAAATGTATGAGGAGGTAAGTGATTTTGAATATATATTAAATTTGATAATGGCTTAACTTCTTTTGATAAATTTCAAAGGATATATATCATAATATTTTTAATATTTATTGTTAGTTTGAGTTGAATCTCAGCTAGAAAATTAACTAATCCAATGTGACGCTGACAACATTGGGTCGAAATAGCAATCATACTTACAAGAAATTTACAAAAGATCAAATAAAACCACTAGCAGCTCAAAAATCGCAGCTTTTGCATATGCATCACATATCGATGTATATCGTATAAATATCAGATATCGGATATTTACTATAAAGATCTTTTTCGAACCTTGTTAAATAATAAATAAATAAATTTATTTCCCAAAAAGATTTCATATGCATTTACAAGATTTTTCTGACCCCCCACACTAGGCTAAGCCTGATCTGTGGCGGGCTTTGTATCAGTTACAGCTACAGCACAACAACAAATATATGACATTACTTACTTCATTACATTATATACTTAAAGTTACACTATAATCAGCATTTATAAGTGAGATCGTTATAGCTACTTTTGGATCCTCAACAGATTTTCAGTATCCTATGAGTCAAGTTTCAGAAGCTTCCCGGGCAACAGTACTTTTATTTCCCTGACCGTTTTATTTTTAAATGTATTATTTATTACATACACACGGCTGCACGTTAGGTTACCACAATCTGCCACATTTGATTAATCGATTTTGAACTCTATAATATTTGGGTTTATGATCAAGTGGAGTTGCCAGTTTTGTACTACTGCTGTTGATTGTAAGAAACTTGCGAATTTGTTAAAGTATCAAAATCGATATGTCACATATGAATTGTTATAATTCCACATCCGCATCCAGCATTATTAAGTAACACTCCTAGTATTATTATAAACATAGTAACTGTATGTTTATTAAAACTTATAATTACGAAAGTCCTTTACGTTGGATGTGTTAACACTAGAAATGCAGAAGATTAAGACCATCCTTGAACCGTAGTCATGCCAATTTTGTCCCATTGGTGTACGGGACAGTTTTTATTATAACAATTTGTGAAATATTCAGAACACAATTATAATAATTAAATTATTATTGATTAATAAACATAGAAGTAACAAATCAATAATTTTGAATGTCGCAGTGTACCGGCCGCGGTGGACTCGATCACCTCGAACTTATTTACGATCAAAGTTGTTGCTCCTGAAATGATAAATAATGAAAATGATATTACTTTTTAATTACTACTAAGAACTTAAGAGCTTATTTAAAAAGACCTTTATATTTAATTTTACAGTATTTATAAACAACTAATTATAACAAATATTAACATTTGTTTCTATTCCAAATTATCGCTCGATTTCTTGGCGTAATTTGTAACCCATTCAATCCATCGTGTCGAACGAGACGACACGATCGACAACGACCAAATTTCGTACCTTAACCTGTATGCCTACCGATAGATATCGTAAACATTTTACTATGACTAAATTGGCTAGACGCAGATGCATCGATGTGCGAGCGCAATAGCAAAATAGCAAAGTTTTAACTAATAAAAAAGTTACATACTATCAAACTTGCGTATGGGACAAAAATGGCACAGTGGCGCTTCTAGTGTTAAAAACGTCTGCATACACGAGAAATGAGAATGGACTACGCTTTACAATAGTATTTATAGAGGGTAGTATCAATTTAATGAGTTGCCTAAACTGGCGGCACGCTATGATGGCCGTTTTGACATATTACAATAGTGATGTGGAATGTCAATTTATTCTCGAACAAAAAAACAAATAAGTTTTGTTTTTGTACCTGATTAAATAGGTTTAATAAAACAAAAATGTAAATGTTTATTTAATATATTTGAACGAACTGAATATTTGAATGAAAATGAATATACATACTTTATATGCACACAAGAAACATATGAATACAAAAGATACCAAAAAAAGTGCCACAAAAGGCCATATTTAATCAGATTCGTCCATACTACTATTTTCACTGTCGTCACTGCTATCATCACCTACATTAATTATAAGTTCGTTTTCTATAATATTATCTATTTTCACATCTCTTTCATAATCTTCCCTTATTAATTTAACAGTTCTATTCACAACCTTTTCCCAGTCTCCTTTAGTCACATGTTCACAAGCTTCTTCTAATAATTTTAGCATTTTTTTTGTGGTAAATGGGGGTTCTGTATTGTGTCTTGCAGCATATCCCTTAATTTGAGCCCACACCAACTCAATCGCATTATACTCACAATGGTAAGGCGGTAACCGTATAACTCTGTGCCCATGTTCTAATGCTATTTCGTCAATGACGTATCGGATCTTGGTTGGTTTGTTTTCTTTTAAAAGACGTACTAATTCCGCTTTTAACATATTCATGTTTGCATCTACGCCATTTTTACGAAGCCATGCGACGATGTCAGCTTTCTTTTGGGATTGGGCAGGTGGCTTGTCAATTTGCATCGAGTGGTATGGGGCGTTGTCCATAATTATAATAGATGGTTCAGGGAGGCTACACAACATTGAGGTAAACCATTCAGTAAACTTTTCTCCATTCATGTCTTCATGATAGTCTCCAGTGGTTTTTGACGCAAAAGCCATGAGAGAACCTTCGACAAACCCGTTGATGGTTCCGGCGTGACAAATTATAAGTCGCGATCCTTTTCCAACAGGAACTTTGGACGTAGATGCTGCTGTGTCATCGGTCCAAGAACGGCCTACAGTATGGTTAGCATTAAGCCATGTTTCATCCAAGAACACAACATTTTGCCAATTTTTGATTTCTTTCACTTGCCGTAAAAAAGTATACCTTGCCATCGCTATATCAAATCTTTCCATCAATATTTTGCGTTTGTTACATTTTTTGTATCGAAATCCTATGGTCTTCAAAATCTTCGTTAAAGAACTTTCCCCACCGAAGAATAATCCAGCTTCCTTCAGTGAATGCACCAACTTTTTTCTTGTTGGATACTTGTTCCGTAAATAGTAGCCGTAAACATGTCTTCGGATAGCATCGGCATCAAAGCTATCGATGCCTACGACTGGTTTTGCTCGTTTTCTCTTTTTTGGTGTGTGAAGTTTATTTTCTTCTGTGCCAGTCTCGCCATATTTTTCTTTAGTTATTCGTCTAACAGTTCGTTGTCCAATATTAAGCGCATCAGCTACGCGTTCAACCATTGACGTTATAGGTAAAATTAGCCCTCCATTTTGAGATTCACGATCAAAATAGTTCCGAACGCGTATTACGAAGTCACGTGTCTGACTATTTAAAACAGTTCTCTGCGTACGTTCGGTCATATAGACGAAATCCACAACAAAGGGCTTGAACAGAGTCCAAATTAACGAGCAAGGGTCAACAGTAATGCAATATCAATATTTGAAATCCAAAGCCAGGTCAAAACTATATCACAATCGCATTGCACTGACAGTTTTTACTTTTCGAAGCAACGTCAATTCGAAACTGCTTTGTTTTGCATTGAACATTGACGCGAGTTTGCCGGAGGTAATAGTTGTGCTAGCCAGCGATCCTATGTGACGATCGTATTAGATTCTAGAATTTTCAATTTAGAAAACCAAATGCCGAGTTGTGGTATAAATAAGTACACCAATCATATATCATATAAAAATAAAATTTTTACCTTTTGTATGAAACAGCTGATATTTTTTGCGATTTCAGAGGTAGCCACATAGTGAAAATTGTTCATATTCACAAGTACATTCACCCCTTAAATGGTGCAAACTGATTTTACTATACTTGTATACATTTTAGAAATCAATTTAATAAATTAATTTTTGGTTCCTAAAACTACATTCGATAAAACTTATGAATCTCTGCACATCACTATCGTCAATAAAGTAATGCAATTATTTCCTTCAAAGTCGTTATCAATTAATACGGAACTTCATGAGCGGACAAATGTCAAAACGGCCATCATAGCGTGCCGCCAGTGTAATCCATGAATCGTGTTTCTGCCGTGCAATTTGCCTATCTTATCCTTTAGCTCAGTACTAAGATAGATAGGAACAGTTTTGACCTTAAGTCCCCTTTAAAGAATGAATGAACACGTTAAGAATTTTAAAATTAATCCGTAAATTTTGTCTTTGTGAATGTGTGTTTGTTTCTAGATTTTGACCACTATTACAATTGTAATATGGTTTAATATTGTTTACTTAGCAGTTTTGTATAACCTGACGTGCTTTTGACTGTATATAATCAAATAAAACAAAACCTCTGAATCCCGCACTGATGTATTCGCAACCTGAAGATAGTACATTAAAGCCCTCTTGTACATCCGCTTACGTTTCTCTCATACATTTTTGATTAAAGGAAAAAAACAAATACAGTTATAAAAAATTACATCATAAGAATAGGTATATCAAAAACCACATATTTTTTTTGTGTACGTACATATTTTTTTTTATATACTTAAGATGAAATATTGATAACCTATTTAGAGAAATCGAAAAAAAAAAATTTTTAAGCTTCTTATTTTAGCAAGCAATCGATCATATGTGTTATTTTTATAAAATTATTTTTATTTAGCAAATATTAAAAGTTTTAATAAAAATAATGTTAATACATTTAAATTATTCTCCATACTTTTTTTTACAGAAACTGAAGAGCGAGAAGGATTATAATAACGAAGTGACATCAGATCTGAAGGCTCGCGTTCAAAGTTTAGAGAAACAATTGCAAACGCAAAGGGAGAGGTACTCGGCACTGTTGGACGAAACTGATAATTTCGTGAGAGCGAGGAACGATAGGTCCAGGAAGGTCAGCGTGGAAGACGGACATTGGAAGGAGGGAGTTCTAGCGGTAAGTTTATTGTTCCTACTGGTATCATAAATGCATTCATATAATAAGTTGGGCAAAAATATTTTTCACATTTTAATAAAGTACTATTTTGTTTGATAACTTTTGGCCGTATTGTAGGTAGGGACATGATCCCATTACTATAGAAATTTTGGAGCTTGTTTGGCAGCCCTCTCGTAATGTTAACCTGACACTGCCTAAAGAATTCTGAGGAGACCGAAACAGGTGGAAATATGAATTTGAAAAGTCAGGAATATACGGCGTACGCATTAACGCCTCCCAGCCAAACTCTTAATATTTGCTGAGTGACAAAAAATTTGCGTGGACTAGCATTATTATAATGAAAAACCACTCCCGTTCTATTGATTAATTCTGGCCACTTTCTCTCAACTTCTTGCTTTTAATCTCATCAGTTGTTCGCAGTAGAGTTCAGAATTTATGGCCCTGCCTGGCGGTAACAGCTCATGATGAATAATGCCCTTCCAATCCTACCACACACACAGCATCACCTTGTTGGGAGTTAATCCTGGTATCGCTTAGTCTGTGAAGCCTGACCGATCTTAGACCACGACCTTTTTTGCACTTTCTTGTCGTACGTGATCCACTTTTCATCATCAGTTATCAGCTTCTTCAAAAATGGTACGGTGTCATTATGCCGCAATAAAGAAACACAGAGTACACGGTTCATTAGGTTTCTTTCAGTGAACTCGTGAGGTACCTAAATAACTAACTTTTTTGTGTATCTATACTCCATTCATTATAGCATTAGAATAAGGTTGTTTTTATGGTATACTTTGTGATAAAATATTAACAATCACGTTACTCTTAAGACTGACGGCTAATTTGCTACATATCCACTTAAATACGCTCGGTCTGCGATACGGTTGTTACCTTTGTCAAAGGGCCGGTCATAGGATGGGTGATAAGAAATTTATTATGTAGAGCTCCTACGTGCTTCAGAAAGGACGTTAATTCCAGGTGTAACTGTAGTCGTTATCCACACTGTCCCCTATTCGATTCGATTCCATCGGTGAAGATGATGGTAATGAATTAACCTAATTTATATAAATCTTGGTGGCGCGATCGTTGTCGTTAAGCAACTTTCGCAAGGGTCGGTAACGGGATGGGTGACCAAAATATTATTATCTCGAGGTACTCCGTGCTTCGGAAGGCATGTTAAGCCGTTGGTGCCGGCTGCATTTGCAGTCGTCAATATCCTCCAATCCGCATTAGGCCAGCGTGGAGGGTCATGGCCCATCCTCCTTAACCATCCATAAGGAAGGCCTGAGCCCCTGCAGTGGGGACGTAAAAGGGCTGATGATGGTGGTAACGTTTTAATTCTCTATACAAAATTCCACTTCCATTTTCATCCCTTTAATTGCTGTTTTTCGGGATAAAATATAGCCTACATTCATCGTATATGATGTAGCTTCCCGTAGGTGAAAGAATTTTTTAAAATCGATTTACTAGTTTCGAAGTCAATTCCATGCAAACAAACAGTCAAATCTTTCCTGTTTATAATATTAGTGTAAATGTTAGTATGTCATTGCTATTGAAATAATTATTATTATAATTGTATTAATATATTGAAATAAATAATAATTATTATGAGACAGCTTTCTATCTTTGGTGAGATGGACGCGTGTTCAATGCTACATAATGGAACTGTCCATGTTCAGTCTCACTGCATCATGTAATGTAAACTAAGGTTTATGACACATGCAAGAATTTATGTGCTATTACAATAAACTTAGACAACTATATTCTACAACATGTGAATTAAATTTATTACCTTTCGCTAGTCTAGTAGTTTCAGTGAGGGTATTTTCATCAATCTTTAGGGAACGCACCCAAACAGACGAAAGAGATAGCTTTACACATTTTTTAAACTTGCGATTAAGATGATGTGTGTTATGCGAGTATACGATTGTGAATGCATTGACGAAATGGATTATTATGATTATTATTGACGTTCCAGGATGCATCGGCCCCGCCTCATATGTTACATTATGCGCACGAGTTGGCGCGTAAAGATCTCGACATCACACAACTCAGGAAAGAGAAACACGCACTTGAAGGACAGTACAGGTCAGCAGGCGTACTCTGAAACAATATATGGATGTGTATACACTACTAGTGCGAATTAAGATGACACCTGAGGGCCTATCCTATATCTCCGAAAGCGGATTTTTTTCTATTTTCTAAATTCGAATACGACTAAAGGAAGGCAATTTTCGATAATTTATAATTCAGCAAAAGTAGGACCTGACCCTGCCTCTGATGCACAGATAATCTTCACGGATTATGATTTTTATAAATTTATTAGAAAAAGTTACTGAAAATAAATCCAGTCTTCAAAAATGATGAATTTCGTATATAGACCATTGACGCTTAGGATATTTGAAAAAACAATGACTTGTGAATCAACTTGCTCCAAAACTGTTGTGCAATTATTACAAATTTAAAATGTTACATTATTCTGACGTATAGCTTTAATTGAATATTATTCAATTACTCAAATCGATTTAAAATTAATCGACTTTTTAAATAATTATATAGTTTACCAAATAGGTGAAATATTAAATAATTTTATTTATTTATTTATTTATTTAATCTTATTTGCCTACAGAAATAGACAAATGGCGGACTTAATGCCAAATAGGCATTCTCTACCAGTCAACCAGTAAATTTAGTAAAAACTTAAAGAGGCGACAGACATAACGAATTTTTGTTGGGATATCATATCAACATAAGAACTATATCTAAATATATATATATAAGAATATATACAATAAAAGATATATATACCTTTACATAAACATATACATATATAACCATAACACAAATTACTAATCAAAATCTGGTGTCGGATCAAGAAATAATATGGTATAATAATAATAATAATTCCCCCTGGCCTCCTCTGCCAGGGGGAATCCTCCCACCCCTCGAATCGTCGAGGGGTCGGGAAGAGTAAATTATAAATATAGGAATAATAATAATATTATTATATTATTATTATTATTTAAATATATTTATAATTTACTCTTCCCGATTATTATTATTATTATTATTATTATTATTATTATGGTATAATATAATATTATTTATATATTTTTTTATTATGCGCATTAATGCGTTAATGTTTTTGCATCGTTGTTAACTTTTTATAACATCTACATCTCTAGACGTGTACATTTTCGTCACATACGGTCTGGTAAATAGCATTGCGTTTGATTATTTCGAATTTTCCACATTTTTTAATAATTATGGGAAAGACGAAAACGAAATAATGTTGTAAAATATGTACAAAAACTATTTCTTAAGTAATAATGATCGTTATAAAAAATATTTTGCCCCTTTTTGAATCAGACGCATATTCCCTATTAAGTCATTCTCATTGGCCAATATTTACCGCGCACCACATCAGTTGAAGCTTGCAAACAATCAAAACGAAAATTTACGAATAATTATATTATGGTGGTGGATTGTAGTTTTAAAAGGAACTACAGAAATACTGCGATTTATCTATAAGTTGAATATAGTTTAACTATAATTAATACCAAATGTTGACTCTTATTTTTTATTAAATACCACTTTACTTCACTAGGGACTGCCAAAGAGAAACGACGATAGAAAAAGTGAGGTTCAAAGAAGTTGTGAGGACATTAAAGGAAGAAATCGACAGGTAAATACATACAAATACCAATGTTAATTTACACTCTCTTCTCACATACAGTCTTATCATAAAATATGTACTTGGTACAGGGTTTAAACCATTATCTGACCTAAATAAATTGAGACATCAACTTGGCATTTTATCTTATCTTCCCATGACTGACTCGTGTGGAAATAACTCTAGTACAGCAATATCTATAGCTCACGAAATAAACTCAGACGGTAAAGTTAAACAATGCAAAATATACTGTCATGAAAGCACTCCGCGGATTTTTGATCCTCCACCCGTTTACACCGGTTACCCGTTTAGCTCGATGGCGTAGTGGATAAGCGCCGCGGCCCGCGATCGTTGTCGTTAAGCAACTTTCGCAAGGGTCGGTCACTGGATGGGTGACCAAAAAAAATTTATCTCGAGCTACTCCGTGCTTCGGAAGGCACGTTAAGCGTTGGTCCCGGCTGCATTTGCAGTCGTTAATACCCTCCAATCCGCATTGGGGCAGCGTGAAGGGTCATGGCCATCCTCCTTAACCATCCATACGGAAGGCCTGAGCCTCTACAGTGGGGATGTAAAAGGGCTGATGATGATGATCCGTTTACAAAGGTAGCTAAGAGCATATTAAACTCACTATAATCTATAATATTCTCTTTCAGACTGAGAAGAATACAATCACGCGAGGGTGCCAACTTGGAATATCTGAAGAACGTGGTGATGGCATACCTCATGTCTACAGATTACGCGGGAAGGAAACACATGCTCAACGCTATAGCGGCAGTATTGCACTTCACCACCGCCGAAAGAAATATAGTGATGAAAACACTATGATATCATATCACCTATTAGATTTTATACAGAAAATAATAGGGAAGTTTCAGTAAATGCTACAAATAATGAAATTTACTATGAAGTAAACGTAAAAAATATATTTTTGAGTAGTAAAATCACACGACTACTTCATTAACTTAGGTTTAATAGTAGATTTTTTAGAGTATGTATCACGTGACATGAAACATGAGTTGCATGATGTGACATCATGTTGGCAAAAACATTTCTGCATCTGTCTAATAAGTCGGAAACGGTTACCTGTTTATTTTGTGGCAGAGCCCTAGATGGCGTTGTTCTTGTATAATCTATATTATTTCACTTAAAAGCAGTGCGTTAGATGGCGTTGTTTTTGTTTGATATCTTCGAATCTGTTCCAGTTAGATTATATACTTTAATTATACATATGCCCTATGCGTCTCTTTTACACATTTACACATGAATATAACGTCATGAAATGGCGGTCAATTTTTATACAGTAATTTAATTTTAAAGTAACAAACATGTCTATTTTGGAAAAATATTGTTTTTCTTTGGCTTATTTAATTAAATTAAAAAATCAAACAGAGAAAAACATATAAATTTTATTCATACAATATTAGGTGGTTTAGTCGCAATCAGTATATTTAAATATACTTAAATAACTATTAGATTCGTCTGACATTTTTGCCTACAATTTAGGACATCTTATGGTTGATTATCCGATTTTCTAGGACACAGAGTTTATAGTTTGTATCGAATTATAAGCATGAACCTACGAGAGTCCTGTGCGGATCCGTGGGTGTTAATGGCTCACTCCGAAACAGTTCGTAAAGAACATTTTGTTGAGTTTGTATTATATGTGACCACTAACCAATCGAAGTCTTTGCAGTTTACTTACATTTGATTCATTTTCCCGCGAAATGAGTTATAAGAAATTATTTAATTTTTTAGTCTTTGTTAAAGACTGCACATACATTGGTGTGTAGACATGTACATATCTGAAAGATCAGAGGTAGATATAAACCTTTAACTTAAACAAACATTCCTTATTTATATATTGTACTAGATTTATAAGGAAATAAAGTTTATTTACGTTAATTTGTAGTTTTCATTTAAAATAGTTATAATGTTAATATAAATTTATAATCATTAATACACATGAGAGCCACGCTTCGGCATGAATGGGCTGGCTCGACCGGAGGTATACCACGGCCTCACAGAAAACCGACGTGAAGCAACGCTTACGTTGTGTTTCGTCGCGTGAGTGAGGGTACCGGAGGCCCAACCCCTCCCTATTCCCTTCCCTCTACCCCTCAACCCTTTCTCCCTAAGATCATATTCGTCCCTCAAAGGCCGGCAGCGCGCTTGTAGCCCCTCTGGAGTTACAGGTGTCCATGGGCGACGGTAATCACTTACCATCAGGTGATCCGTCTGCTCGTCTGCCCCCTATCACAAATATAATAATAATAATAGCTTCGCTCTGATATTTGCAATGTTCGACAGTGTAATGTATGTATAAGTAGGTAGCCGGTACGCGGAGTTAATGAATCTTAGAACTAGTGAACTAGGTTAAATGCGATTTTGACGTTAATCAACCGAGCCACTATTTACATAATTCAATCTTAAACTAACTCATGACTAGTGACGTCATGACTGGACACAGACCACCTCAACTTTCTTAGAAAACCACATTAATTATTACACCTAAACAAAAACCTCTTTCATTACATCATGAGAGATGTTTTGCCTCGTCCGTGGTATTTATTATTTTTAAAGTTTTTGGATGTGTAATATATAAGTGATAAATCCTTTTCGTCGCAATAAACTAATTTTAACGAGTATTGAGACAAATAAAAAATGTTAGAAAGCATGATCGCCGGCTGCGTATTTTGAAGTTAGACGCTAACCCAATAGATGGCGCTTAAAAAAAAGTAATTTTAATTCCACAAACATGCTTAAGATTTTAGTATTAATTTTAATACTTAAATAAGTGATTTTATATTCTTTGAATTTAAATTATCCACCAATTTAAAAACAGCAAAACCTTACCTAATTCAGTGCGACTGAGCTGCCTTTACATAAATGCTCCAGCTGTAGCTGTAGGGTAACACTGAAAGTTTTTAGAACTGGCCACTGGTAATCGATATAATAAAAAAAAATAGTTTAAATAAAAAGGAAAAAAATTAACTCTGCTAATATCATTGAGTAGAGTTGTTTTAATTGTCTGTTACGTTAGCATGAATTATCACTTGATGTCATTGATAACAAGAAATTTATTGTATGTAGACTTCATTGGTTTTGTCACGATGAAGCCTCATCTCGTGCCATTATTTACATGTGGTAAAATGAGTTCAAACGTGGTCACATTAAACTAACTGATGATCTTATTCGGACGGCCGATAACCGAAGATGATATCAATATTAAGACTGAGGTATTAGCAGATTCAAACAAGCATAGGCACTGGTGTGAGTCAAGTGATAGGCATCGGCACAAATTCTCCAAAAACACTTAGCGGTCGGCGGTGTAGCTCGGTGGCGTAGTGGATAAGCGCCGCGGCCCGCGATCAAAGTCGTTAAGCAACTTTCGCAAGGTTCGGTCACGGGATGGGTGACCAAAAATTACTATTTCGAGCTACTCCGTGCTTCGGAAGGCACGTTGAGCCGTTGGTCCCGGCTGCATTTGCAGTCGTTAATACCCACCAATCCGCATTGGGCTAGCGTGGAGGGTCATGGCCCATCCTCCTTAACCATCGATAAGGAAGGCCTGAGCCCCTGCAGTGGGGACGTAAAAGGGCTGGTGATGATGATGATGACTTAGCGGTCAGGAAGCTTTGTGCCCGGTGGATACCTCATAATTTGACTGAGGCCCAATACTCCGTCGTGTTGGTATTGGTGCCGTGAAATGATTTAAATATTTAACGGAGATGACTCAAATGCGACATACTACGGGTGATGAAAGCTGGAATTACTCCTACGATCCGGAAGCCAAAAAAAAATACTTCCGACAAACAACCGCTTTGGTGTTTCTTTTCGAAGAGTTGCCAACTAATGGGAAGAAATATAGAAGCGAGAGAAGAAGAAAAGAAGAGCGAGCGAGTTTGCCGTTTGTACATGTCATGTACAGAAGTTCTTGCAGATACAGACTGGCTGTAGAAATTGTTAGTTATTATAGTTTCACGGTTATAGCACTTCTGCAAAATAACTTCTGATTATATTCAAAATGTACTAAACTAAGCCCTTTGTAGTGCGACTGTGTGCACACTTGTGATGCGTCAAATTAAAATTCTTTCATTTGACATAGGATTTTACTAGTGCAACTAAATTAACTAGTTGTAGGTAATGTGTTACTTATACAACCATTATACCACCAGTAAGTGAGGTTGTAGCGCCGCGACATCGCCACGACAACGCTCCCATTTATCATCGAAGACGACAGAACACAGGGCTGACAAAGTTAACAAATGTGCAATATATTTTAATAGGGGTTAAATTATGAAATTGCCAATATGTACTGAAAATCAAAATTGTTTATTTTTTAATTTTTAACAAATTTATTTAATCAAAATACTTACCATTATTATCTATACATTGCTGCCATCTAATAGGAAGGTCATTTATGCCTTTGCGATTGAACTCTGAGGATCTAGACTGCACAAACTGTGTGAAAGCATTTTGTACTGCCTCTTGGGAAGAAAACTTCTTGTCACCTAGATAATTGTTGTGGCGTTTGAGCTGGGGTCAGTTGGGGTCTATTGCATTTTTCTTTTACGGTTATCATAAAGAATCCACATTTCATCACATGTCACAATTAGATCCAATATTATTTTATTTCTGAACCGATTCAACAAGGTAACACAAGTTTCAACACGTGTTTCTTACTACAGATCAGTCAAATCATGAGGTACCCATTTTTCGTATTTTGTTTATTTATTTTGATTTGACGCAAACGAGTCAATATTATGTGTAAGGTAACGTTAAACCATGCCGCTAATTACTGGGTAGTTTTACTAGGATCGGCTTCCACCATCTCTCATAATTCATCGTTATTCATCTGCGTGAGCAGTCTTCCTCGTGGCTTGTTGTTCAAGTCGAAGTTTCCATCACGAAAGCGTTTAAACCAAACACGGTGCGTTCATTAGCAGACCCCTCTCAAAACGCAACATTGATATTGCGGGCTGTTTCTGCCACGTTACTTCCGCGTCAGAACTCGTATTCAAAAATCATTCGAATTTTCGCAGTATCCATCTTTCTTGTCTAAGTTAAATAACAAAAAGAATTGAAAGTCGATATTAAAATGTTTGACATTTTTTAAAAGAAGAACATAGAAACCACGTGAAAAACGTTTCTTTCGAAAACCCGAACCATGAAGATCCTATGTCAATTCAAAGAACCTATTACAATGAAACGGCAATTTAACTCCTTGTCTTAAACCCCTAATATTAAACGGACGTTTAGCATATCAGGTCTCTATTCTAATATTGTTAACATAATATATGGCACTTCACACACTATATGGCATAAAATAATGGCACTTCACTTGTAAGAGCATTGATTAAAATTAACTTTCTTATAATTTCACGTAGTAGCTCGCTGGCGTAGTGTATAAGCGCCGCGGACCGCGAACGTTATTGTTAAGCTACTTTCGCAAGGGTCGGTCACGGGATGGGTGATCAAAAAATTACTATCTTGGAGAACTGTGCTTCAGAAGGCACGTTAAGTCGTTGGTCTTGGCTGCATGAGCAATCGTTTAAACCTTCCAATCCGCATTGGGCCAGCGTGAAGGGTTATGGTCCATTCTCTTTTCAGATTTTCACAGCATAAGGGCTTTAGCGACTTAATATGTGATCCTAACAATGAAGGTAGCAAAACCTATATGATGTCTAATATTTGTATTTAATAGATACACTTTGACAGCCCTCACTGCTGGCATCTCTTAGTGATTATATCGATTGTCTGAACTCTTTGTTTACTGCCAGTATTACTAATGGACTTCACTTGATTAATACTTCGCGGGTCTTAGC